GTAGGACTAGGAATGCCGGGACGGTCGGTCCCTGCTCAACACACGGTGTCCTGGGCGGCGTCGTGGGCCGAGGAGTGGCAGGGGGGCATGGACGGACGGTCGGCCAGCGGGCGCGCGCTGACGTATCAGACACTCGGCGGGGACCACGGCCAGCAGCAGGGTAAGTTAAGAGCGGGGCCGAGTGGTGGTGCCATGCCACGTTCTCTGCGACGGGCCGGCTGACGTGTACCCCGCTTCCTCTGTCTCGCCCGCCGTCGGCGAGATCTCGGCGCTGGGCGCGGGGCCAGAGGAGGTGGCCACCTCCTGGCATCGCTCGGACGTGTGCAATTTTGTCTCGGCGAAAACCATCGAGGAGCATCCTTGATCATTTGGCGAAAAAACCATGCACAACACCAAAAAAAACACAGGGAATGGACGTCCGAGCGATGGCCAAACCTGCCCCCTCGGCGCGATGTCATCCCGCGCGCCTCACGTGGGGGCCGACGCAGCGGTTGCTGCGGGGCGGCCGGCGCGCCCGAGGATCGAATATGTTGTCCAGTTGATTCGCATGGATCATGGATCGCATCGATTGATTTATATCAGGAGGGGAAGAAACACACAGACACAATTAATCGTCGATTCCCAGGAAAACATAGGACAATATGGGAAGTGGGGGGGAAGACAAAAACCCAGAAATTATGCTAACGGAGTTCCCCACATAATGATGTTATTGGGATAGCGGAATCAAGGATCATTTTGTCATGAAATTGCCGACCTGCCCTCACCCTCTCCGTCCTTTTCTATCACATGGTTTGCGAATACCCTCCTGTTCGCGAATAGCGTCCTCGCTCAGGCGGGGCGGGGCCTCCCTGGAGGGTGGGAGGGGCACGGAACCTGATAAATAACACTGTTTTCGAATAGCGTCCTCGCTCAGGCGGGGCCTCCCTGGAGGGTGGGAGGGGCACGAAACCTGATAAATAACACTGTGTTCGAATAGCGTCCTCGCTCAGGCGGGGCCTCCCTGGAGGGGTGGGAGGGGCACGAAACCTGATAAATCGCACTGCTTTCGAATAGCGTCCTCGCTCAGGCGGGGCCTCCCTGGAGGGGTGGGAGTGGCACGAAACCTGATAAATAACACTGTTTTCGAATAGCGTCCTCGCTCAGGCGGGGCCTCCCTGGAGGGTGGGAGGGGCACGAAACCTGATAAATAACACTGTTTCGAATAGCGTCCTCGCTCAGGCGGGGCCTCCCTGGAGGGGTGGGAGGGGCACGAAACCTGATAATAACACTGTTTTCGAATAGCGTCCTCGCTCAGGCGGGGCCTCCCTGGAGGGGTTGGAGGGGCACGGAACCTGATAAATAACACTGCTTTCGAATAGCGTCCTCGCTCAGGCGGGGCCTCCCTGGAGGGGTGGGAGGGGCACGAAACCTGATAAATAACATTGTTTTCGAATAGCGTCCTCGCTCAGGCGGGGCCTCCCTGGAGGGGTGGGAGGGCACGAAACCTGATAAATAACACTGTTTTCGAATAGCGTCCTCGCTCAGGCGGGGCCTCCCTGGAGGGGTGGGAGGGGCACGAATAAGGCGGGGCCTCCCTGGGAGGGGCACGAAACCTAAATAACACTGTTTTCGAATAGCGTCCTCGCTCAGGCGGGGCCTCCCTGGAGGGGTGGGAGGGGCGCATGGTATTGATATGGTATTGGTATGGTATTGGTATGGTGGGAGGGAGCTCAGACGAAACCTGATAAATAACAGGTGTTGCATGGTATTGGTATGGTATTGGTTGGTATGGTATGGCTTATGGTATGGTATTGGTATGGTATTGTATTGGTATGGTATGGCTTGGTATGGTTTGGTATGGTATTGGTATGGTATGGTATTGGTATGGTAGGGCTTGGTATGGTATGGTATTGGTATGGTATGGTATTGGTATGGCTTGGTATGGTATGGTATGGTATGGTATTGGTATGGTATGGTATTGGTATGGTATGGCTTGGTATGGTATGGTGATGTGCGGAATGGTATCGTATGGTATGGTTTAGGAGAAGGACGCGGGAGGAGGAGGAGGAAGGAGAGGGTGTTCTGGGAAAACAAGAACCCCACTCAGGATGTTGGGAAATATAGGAAAATAGGGGGAACCATGTTATTTGTGTGTATTTATTTGTGTGTCCCAGGGCTCCTTCAGGATCATGGATCGCATCGATCGATGTATAGGGGTCTGAAGCCCAAGATGGGGCATGGATCGGATCGACCCCGGCGCGCGCGGCTTGCGACGATGGGCTGCTATGCCAGTTCCCGCTCACGCTTGCCTTCTTGCTTGCCCCACGCAAAATTGCGGGGAGGGTCTTTCGTTTGGAGATGGATGGCGAGCGGCGCAGCCATCGCGCGCGCGCGTCGGCTTGTGCGCCGGCTCATCCTCCGCCCACGACACATATCGCTGCGCAACGTTACCGAGATGATCGGCACGAAACTGCCACTGCAGCTATCGAAGGGAGTGCGGGGAGACCAGGCGGTGTGGAAGTAGAGTCAATGCCGCGGGGCGAGTGTGCGGAAAACGCCAGCAGGGGCTGTTTGAACTCGACCTCGCGATGTGGGAGTCAAAAGTGAACAAAAAACGACCAGCGTGTTGCAAAAGACGCACGGCCGCCGCGAAGGAGGCGAGGGAATCGGGCGTGCAATGCGCGACGCGCGGGCAACATTCAAGAGGTTAGAAGAGGCAGCACAGACGGTGTGAGGGGACAGGGGCGGCGATGGAGAACGCGAAACAGGTGCTCAGAGAGGTTTTTGCGTAATTCGTGTGCGCGAAGGCGCACGCGGAAGCAGGGGCCACTGCGGGCCGCAGCGTGGTGGCGGGCGCGGAAGTGGGGGCCTGATGGCGGGGCCGCTCTCGGGGGCGTGGCGCCTCCGACGGAGCGGCAGGCCGAGCGTCGCCGATGCCACTGCACCTGGGCGGGCGGGCGCGGGAACGGCCGCGCGCGAGGCGCGGTCGCGACGGCGGCGGCGGAGGCAGCGAAGCGGCGGGAGTCGCCCGCGCGCGAGGCGTCGGGCTCCGCGGCCGCATGTCGGAGCGCGAGCGCGCCCGAGGAGGCGCACGCGGTCGACGCGCCGCGACGGCGGGTCGGGCGGCGCGCGGGAGGCGCCCGCGCGAGGGGCGCGCCCGCGGAGGGGGCGGCCGGTGCGGCGAGGATGCAGGGGCGGGCGCTGACGCGATGCTCTCTCGAGAGCGAGTTCCGCGTGCCTCGTGCCCCTGCGCGGCCGCCGAGCGCGAAAGACTGACTGCACGGAGGGGCGCGGCCATCGATTTCTGGGTCGCTTCGGGTGGGTGGCTTTTGCGGGACCTCGTGAGAACACTCGCGGGGCCGCGTCAGTCTCGTCGCGGATGCGTCAAGGGCTGCCTTTTAGGCCATTTTGGGGGAGCCTTGTGGGCCCGCCGGGGCCATCGTGGAAGCCTCTCGGGTCGGGGCCGCCTCGGGCGCATTTTGGCTGTCCTGGTGCCTTCTTGGGCATCGCAGTCTTCTCTTGGCGCCCGATAGGGACCGCCGTAGACATTCTGGATGTCGATCAGGCGAGCGCAGACAAAATGCAAACACAACCCATACTTGTCATGCGTCGCGGGCTTTCGCGGGGGGCCTACGGGCGATCTTGAGACCATGTTGGGATTTCTGTCTGGTGTTGTTGTACTCACCCTGCAGCCGATGGAACATGGGGAGACTATGGAAGGTGGGGGACATGTGGGAGACTATGGAATTGAAGCAGACCTGAGGTTACACTCGGCTGCCCTCGTTCCTCCCTCAGACGCGCAATCGGGGGTCTTGGGGCGAGTGAGAGGGGGATGATCTCACGCACGTGCAGACCCCGCGGGGGTCGACGATTTTTTCCACGACGCCGTGGAGTCATGGGCTCAGCTTGGTAAGGCTTGTGGCTAACGGTTGGACACAGACAACCCCTGGATGTAGCCGGCTGGATTCAACTTGCCCGAGGCGGCGCTGGGAGTTAAAACCTCCTTAGGCCACCATGGGCCTGGTTCGGCCGTTTGGGGTCTCCGAGAGTTTTGTGTATCTGCGTGTGCTAACTTATGGGGGCTTGCCATTCCTTCCCTAGACATCCAACGTCATATCCGTGTACCTGGGCCCCGAAGTAGGTTTTCCAAGGCTGGCAACCTGGAGAGATTGCCCGCGCATTTCTCGCCACTTGTGAAGGTCTGGGCATATCCCTGGGCACCCACCACTCGCAGTAGAGGCCCCTGGGGGTCCGACGCGATTCCTTCTCCGCCTCTTCCTCCTCTTCTTCCTCCTCGTCCTCCTCCCCTTCCCAGACCTCGGCTGCGCGAGTCCTTCCATTCTTGGCCGCCCAGGTGGGGCGGGAGCAGCTCGAGTCGGAGGATCGCGCCGCATCGCCGGTGCGAGGTGCGGCGCGATCCAGATCTCTTCGACCCTCGTCGAAGGTGAATCGCCGATGCATCGGCGATGCGGTGCGGTGCTCGGGCCAGTTCTGCCCCTGACGCCAGGCCCAGGAGGAGGGGGGGGAGGAGGAGGAGGAGGAGGAGGAGGAGGAGGAGGAGGAGGAGGCGGAGGAGGAGGAGGAGGAGGAGGAGGAGGAGGAGGAGGAGGAGGAGGAGGAGGAGGAAGAAGGGGGGGCCCTTCCCTCAGCGGCAACAACAGGGGTGAATCTGTTCAGGGGGGGCGCATCGTTGCCAGTCGCGTGCCAGGGCCCCTTCGTCTTTCCCGGGAAGTGGTTTTTCGTTTCGGGTGTTTGATTTTTCGGCCCGGCGGCCCACAAACGGCCCCCGGGTCGCCGAAGACGGCGCGATTGAATCATGTTGGTCCGTTACAGAACGGGAGTTTTTTCCACTGCTCAGTATCATTCAGCCGAGCCCCATCCCCACGGGGCCACAGCTTCTCAACCGCACAGTTTGGCATAGGCCCCTCGAAGCCCGAAGGGCACAGCCCGCATCCCCGCCTTCGAGTGAAGATCGGCCCGTGCGGCTCAGGCCATGCCAGTGGGGATTGGGATCGGCGAAGCGATGCTCTCAATTGCTCCGCCTGGGCAGACACCGTTCCGACCGCTCGGCCAGCGCGGAGAGGCGCGGGCGCGCGAGCCGAAGGCGCGCGCGCCCGCGCACGCCCGTGCTCCTTGTTCGGACTTGGCGGCGGCGGCCGCGGTGGCCCGCTGCAAAAAGCACAGCGGAGCGGAGGGTGCCACCGCCGCTCTCGTCGTCGTCGTCGTCGTCGCCGCCGCCGCCGTCGATGTCGTCATCGTCGTCGTCGCCCTCGCCGTCGTCGTCGCCGTCGTCGTCGCCGTCGTCGTCATCGTCGCCGTCGTCGTCGTCGTCCCTAAACCCCTGATGTCTTGACAGGATCAGGGCGGTCGTGTTCTGCTGGTGCTCATGAGTTTCGACAGCCGCGGGTCCTTCTCGGGCTCCCGGGCTGTCAACAAGACGATCCAGGCAAGCATGCCTGCGGGAAGGGCGAGACGTCTCTGGCGTCTGCGAGGTCCCCGTAGGTCTGGGTCAAAAAAGCTGGTGCGCACAGAGGCTGGGAACGATGAATAAGTGTTTGACGGACGGCACCCGGGCTCAGAAACTGTTCCCAGAGGCCGAACATTCTGAAAACCGCGAGTGCGTCAATGGTTAATGCAGGATGATGGTTCAGAAATCAAAGGGGTCGCGTTCACGCGGCGGCGCCCAGGATGATGACTAGAAAATTGGCCCCAGGCCAGGAACATATCGGATTCTTACGTTGCTCGTTGCTCGGAGGTTCTCTGGGGTCCTCGGGTTCCCTGGGTTCCTCGCCTTCGGTGCCTCCGATTCCTGTTGCTCGGAGGTTCTCTGGGTCGGATTCCCCGGGTTTCTCGCCCTTGGTTCTTCCAATTCTTACGTTCCCCGTTTCTCGGAGGTATCTCGGGATCCTCGGGTTTTTCGGGTGTCCCGCCCCCGGTTGCCCCAAACAATGCTAAGCAATTCCAAGCAAAGCCAAGCAATGCCAAGCAATGCCAAGCAATGCCAAGTAACTACAGGCAAAGCCAAGCGATGCGCCCATGCAATAGGCTTTCCCATAATTGGGATCGCTCGGGGTTCATGTGTATGGAAACGCGAAATTAAGATCACCAATGTGCAATCCCGAAACATTGCCAGCAACAGTCGTGAACTGTTTTAATATCGCTTCCCCCGTTTTTGTTTGTTGATCGCCATCTTGCATCATCAGGCTCGGGTCGCCAGGGTGCCGGGCCCAGTGCCGACAGCGGCTGCTGCTGCCGCGGCGGGGGCGGCGGCGGCGGCGGCGACGGCGACAGAAGCTCAAACGTCCAACGTCACGATCTGTCTGAGACGTGGGTCAGGAGGGGAAAAAAACACACAGACACAACTGATCGTCGATTCCCCGAAAAAAATGGGGACAAATATGGACAGTGGGGGGGGAAGACAAGAACTCAGAAAATATGGAAACATTTGGGGGGAATCCTGTTACTCGTGTGTGGTTTTATTTGCGTGCCCCAGGGCCCCTTCAGTGGGGCCCGCGGGGCCCTCGGAGGCCAGCTTCCGTCCCAGCTCGCTCTTGCATGGCGCTCCGCCCTGCGGCCTCCGGCGGGGCCTTGCCCGCGCCTCGGGCCCCCGCGTGCGGGCGAGGCCGTGCGCACGCTCGGGTTGGCCCGCTGGCGTCCGTCGGACGCCCTTCTCCTCCTCCTCCTCCTCCTCCTCCTCCTCTTCCTCCTCCTCCTCCTCCCCTCCTCCTCCTCCCCTCCTCCTCCTCCTCCTCCTCCTCCTCCTCCTCCTCCTCCTCCTCCTCCTCCTCCTCGGGCCCAGAATCGAGATGAGTCGATTCCAGAGCGTTCCGGATCTCTCCCAGAGCGTTCCGGAACTCGGGCCGGACGAAAGGGGGGGATAGGGGAAGGGGGCGTTGCAAAATGTGCGGCATGCAGCTGGTTTCGGCCCCACCGAGGGGCCCATTTCTCGGTATATAGCCGCCTCCAGCGCCGGGAGGCGACGGGAAAATCAGCTACGCGAGCTGATTCTCCCCCCCCCCTTTGCTATCCCCCCCTTTCGCCCGACCCGAGGAACGCTCTGAGATGGCCGCGGCGCCCGATGCGTCTTCCAAGCCCGCCGAGCCTCAGAGATCTCCGCTTTCTATCGGCCCGATCTTGGCTCGCTGTTGCCTTCGCCTCAGTTCCGAGAAGGAAGAAGCTCCCCGACCCCGATAATTGGCGTTTGCTGGGCGGCTCTGGGCGTTTGCTACACAGCGCTGTGTTGTTCGATTCCTTCCTTGGATGCGTTTACTGAACGGCTTTTTGCTTGTCGGGGTGCTTGTTTTGAGGGCAGAGTATGCGATCTCCGCTTTGCATCGGTGCGATGCTGCCTCGATTTTGCCTCCGTCCGAGTCCGCCGGGGGGCGGCCACGGGTCCAGGAAAAGGGGGGGAGCGGCGACGGGCCCAGGACGACGGAGACGACGACCGGCGAACGACGGAGACACGACTCGAACGGACAGGCCCCGCACGCACGCCGAAAGGGTCGGCGGATCCCAGACATCGGCCGGTCCAATTTTGGGGGGCGCGTGCCCCAGAGGTCTGGACCACCTCCTTCTAGGGCCAGCCCGAGTCGTTGTTCGACGGCCCCGAGGCCCCTGGCGAGGACCCCTGGGAGGCCCCCAAACAGCCCTGACCCCGCCGCTCCAATCAGTATCGTTTAACAGATCCCCATCCCCATCCCCTTCGACCCCCCACCCAAATCACCACCCCAGTTGGGGATGCACCCCCCGAAGCCCGACGTGAGCGACCCACATGTCCCCATCTGTACGTTGTAAGCCGGCCAGTGGGGCCCAGGCCACGCCGCTGGGCATGGGCATCGGTGCAACGCTGCTCCTCCAATTTTTCAGGAGGGAAAGAACACACAGACACAATGAATCGATGATTCCCCAAGCGTCGTCGCGGGGAAGCCCCTGAAGCGGCGGCGAGTGAGGGGGGACTCAGTGAGCAGGAGGAGGCCTTTTCAGATCAGGAGGGGAAACAACACACACACACAGGCAGACACAATGAATCGTCGATTCCCCAGAAGATATGGGAAAAGATGGGAAGTGGGGGGGAAGACAGCAACCCAGAAAATATAGGAAAATGTGGGGGAACTGTTCATTTGTGTGTATTTGTGTGCGTGTCCCAGGGCCCCTTCCAATTTCTTGTCGGGAGGAGCGTCGGCGCTCTGGGACGTCGCCTCCGCCTCGCAGCCCGCCCGCGGGGCCCCCGGGCCAGGCCCCCCCCCCCCCGCGGGGCCCCCGCGGCGCGCCCGACCCGCTCCCGGCCACTCGGCCCCCCCCTGGCGGCCATGGTCGGCGGCGCGGCGCGGCCCCGCTAGAGGACGCCCCCGGCCGCCCGCCCGCCCGCACGCCGCGCGCCGCGGTGGGCGCGCCGGCCGGCAGGCACGACGATGATCGGGTTTAGGTCGGGCTTGTCCCCCTACAGGAGGATTTTCGATATATATATATATATATATATAACAAAACGCCACAAATACCGCCACAAAGGTCAACAAATACCCAAAATAATAGTTCCCAGGCTATTTTTGGACTATATGTTTTGACCTTTTTGGGGGTATTTTTGATTGTTCGTCAAAAATCCCCCTTGGGCGACAGGCCCGACTTAATAATATTAGGTCGGGCCTGTCCCTCTGCAGGAGGGAGATTTGAGGATTGTAAAAAATAGTCCGGGGACGATGTTGTTTGGTATTTCGGAGCATCAGTTGCATATGTTGTTGGGGGATGTATCTTTTATTCTTCGTCCAGGGTCCGCCTGTAGGAGGAGGACACGCCACGACGACGAGGACCCCCGTGTTTCTCACCGAGCGCGTTCCACTGCTCGCAGGGTGCCTACTCGCAAACGTCCGAAGCATAACATCTCGCTGATGGAATTTATCGTAGATCCCCGCGGCGGATCCAAGCCATTTACGAGTAGTTAATTTTGCGAGTAGCGGGTCGCGCTTGTCAAGTTTCTTTCGGCACGAACGAAATGGGTACGGAAAGAATGGGTACAATGCCCAACAGCAGTTCCTCTTCATTTTGAACAGGACTCGCTGTCCGCGCCGCCGCGGCCTGTGTCCATTTGCGGCAGAAGCCCGCCTGGCCCCACAGTGGCCGCTGTTGGTTTGGGACAACATTTGTTGTTGGGCATTGTACCATTTTTTTTCGTACCCACTTCGGGCGTTCAAATGTTCTAGGCATCCTAGATGGGGTCGGAGTAGATGGGGTCGGAGGATCGCGCCGCATCGCCGATGCATCGGCGATGCGGCTCGATATGGAGCCTGAGTTTCTGCACGCCGAAGTCGCCAGTACATCACGGGCATCGCCGGTATATCGCCGATGCATCGCCGATGTATCGACGATGCGGCGCGATCCTCCGACCCCATCTACTCCGACCCCATCCATGAGGCCTCCAGGGTCGACTTTGCTGTCGCTCGTGCTTGAGTCGTCATGGGTCTTCCTCCCATCCTCCTCCCGTGTGCACGGATGCGTCGCCGTACACTCGGCCCCGATTGGTGTGTCGACCATGGCAGATCCAGGGTACGTACCCTTTGTGTCCTGTCTAGCCCGACCTATGCTAGCCGCATGTCCTGTTACGTTGCGTCTTCGAGGGACCTCGCCTGTCCCCCGAATTGGTGCCTTTTCTTGTGCCCGACACGGCCTCGATGCGTACTCGAGGAGGATTTGGCGTGTATTCGAAGCGGACTCGACACAGATCCGACGAGTCCGACATGGATTCGACACCGGATTCGACGCGGACTGGGCCGCGACGGGACAGACGAGGTCCCCCGAGGCTGCAACATAACCTGGGAATCTGGAAACATTCAGGGAATTCTGAGAACCCACGTACGGCGGGTCCGCGTCGTGTCGACCGGCGACGACCCCGCCGCCGGTGTTCAATGTTGAGCGCCGCCGGTGGCCCAGAATCGTTCGATGTTGAACGATCTGTCATTTGGGAAACCGCTAATCGTTCAAGTTTGAACGATCCACGCGGGGTCGGGAGCCAGCGCCAGGGTCGAGGCGACAGGGACCTGCCGTGAGTATCGAGAACTTCAGCGCGGAGGTCTTCCTTAGCTTTCGGCTTCTGGGGGCGCTCGCCGGGCCCCAGGACTCGGTATCGTTGGACCGAGCCCCATCCCCATCGCCATCCACGTCTCGCGCCCCGCCGTCTCACCCACTCGGTTGGGGATAGGCCCCCCAAAAACCCGAAGAGAGAAGCCCATATCCCTCGGGGGTGGACAGAACCCCCACAAGTGACACGTCGATTCGTGGATCGTCCGGTTTCGGTTCTCGAGAGGGCGCCGTGGCCGTCATTTGCCAGGCTTGCGCCCGCCAGGTTTGGGCCTCGGGTCGTTTTCACTAAACCACGTTTTACTACAAGGGGGGTCTGTCCATCCCCGAATCCCCATCAGGGGGGTAAATCGGCCAGTGGGGCCCAGCCCACGCTGGTGGGGATGGGGAGCGGTTAAACGATGCTCAAGGACCGTGAAGAAACGACTCGGTATGCAGAACCGGTCCTGGGAAAGGGGTCGAGTTTTCGGGGACTCCGTCGTCGCGGGGAAGCCCCTGAAGCGGCGGCGAGCGAGAGGGGACTCAGTGAGCAGGAGGAGGCCTTTTCAGATCAGGAGGGGAAACTACACACACAGGCAGACACAATGAATCGTCGATTCCCCAGAAGATATGGGGAAATATGGGTAGTGGGGGGGAAGACAAAAGCCCAGAAAATAGATGGGAAAATATGGGGAATCCAGGGGTTTGTGTATTTATATTGTAGAGGCCTCCGGCCAGTGCCGCCGATCCGGGACGATCCCGCTGTCAGAAGGACGCTTTCGCCCCAGCGCGGGGTGATCCTTTCCCTTCTCCGCACTGCGCTTTAGTTTTGTAGGCAGTAGAATAATTGTTTCATCCGAGTCTTTCCGCATCCTTCTCGTTCCCTCCTTCTTGTCCCTCCTCCTTCCCCCGTGGCCCTCGTGCTCTTCCCGTTCCTCCCACTCCAGTTCCTCGTAAGGGATGGCATTGAAGGGTAGGGTGTCAGATATGACGCGAGCGCACCTAACTTGCCCCGCTCTCCGTCTCGTCATTCGGCTCGAGAACGGCTTGTGTTGCAACGCGCTTGTTCAAACGTAAGTGGTTTGGAAACAGCTTGGAGGCATTGCGTGGGCTTCTTGAGGGGTCTCTACGACGCATCTTCGAGGCCTCCTGGGGGGGCGTCTTGGAGGTGATTGTTGAGCCTCTTGGGGACCTTTGGGCTTCTTTGGGAGCATGCAGGAGGTATCCTGGAGGCATCCTGTAGGAGGTATTTTTTAAGCCTTCGGGAGCGCTTTCGGGCGCCTTTTGGGGCCTCTTCAGGGCCACTTGGAGCCTCTCGGATTTTTTTGGGGACTCCTAGGGCCATTTTGGTGCCCCCTGGGCGCCTCTTGGGCCGTCTTGGACCCTTCTGGGGCCGTCATGGAGCCCTCTTGGGCGCTTCTTGAAGCCGTCCTGGGGCCCACTTGGGCCCTCTTGGGGGCCTCCCGGGCCGTCTTGGGCCCTTCTTGGCCGACTTGGGGCCCTCTTGAGAGCCTCTGGGCCTTTTTGGGGGGTCTCTTGGGCCGCGTTGGACACTGCGAAGGCCGAAGAATCGAAAATTCCAAAAGTGTACGTTTTCCTCCAGGAATGGGACAGATTTTCCGTCTTTGGGCACTCTTAGGAGGCGTCGGGAGGGCACGTTGGAGGCTTCTGGAGCCGTCTGAGGAACATATTGAGCGCCCTGGAGCGACGTTTCGGCCACTCAGGGCGCTCTTGGGCCGTCTGGGCGGCCGCTGTTTTTTTTATGAGCCCGCGTTCGAGCTCTCCGGGGCGAGGGGCCGACCCGGAGTGAGCTGGAGCTCCGATGTTGCTACCAAAATTGGCTCGCAATCCCTCCACCCCCCCACCCTGGCAGAGCCCTTCTGGCCCCCCCCCCCCCCCAAGCAGAGCTGAAGCTCAAGAACTGAGGCTCAGGCTATATCGGAGGGTCTTTGAAACCCACACGCCGGATCGGCGGATTCGTGTGTCCCGGAGCCCCTTCCAAGGCGGCGGGACTTCTCAGAAGCCCTCGCGCCGTCTGAGAAGTGTTCTGCGCCTTCGGAAGGACGGCGCCGAACTTCTCTCGGAAGGCCGGGAGACCTCCGAGCCTCTTGAGGAGGCCTTCTCCTTCTCACTCCCCCCCCCCTCGCTCGCCGCCGACTGGAGTAGAATGACGAACGAACAACACGCACCCATACCCACAGGTGGGACGGAGGGGGCCACGGGTGCGCGTTGTCGGATGGGGTCCCCCGCTCGAAGGGAAGCACCCCCCAGGATCCGACAACCTGCACCCATACCCATAGCCAGTCCTCCTCCCAACATTCCCCCTACGGTAGGTTCGCGTCGTGTCGACCGTCGGCGACCCCAGCGCGGGCGTTCAAGGTTGAACGCCGCCGGCGACCCAGAATCGTTCGATGTGGAACGATTTGGACGTTGCGGCAGCGGCCGATCGTTCAAGGTTGAACGATCCCTGCGGTGTCGAAAACCAACGCTGGGGTCGGCACGACACGAACCTGCCGTATGTGTGTGTGTTGCTCGTTCGTCAAAGGAGAAGGCGCCGTGCGCGTCAGAGGCGCGCGGGCAGGACAGCCGGCGCCGACGCGACGGCAGCCGAGCGCCGCGAAGCACTTCGAACACCCCATCGTCGCCAGCTCCTCCTCCTCCTCCTCCTCCTCCCCCTCCTCCTCCCTCCTCCTCCCTCCTCCTCCCTCCTCCTCCCTCCTCCTCCCTCCTCCCTCCTCCCTCATCCCTTCTCCCTCCTCCCTCCTCCCTCCCTCTGTACTTGCACATCCCCCTCTCGCCAGGAGGCCCCCCGAGGTGGACGACCGGGGAGGGCAACGGCGGCAGGAGGCAGAGGAGGGAACGGCGCCCGGAGGCCAGGACGCCCGCCGACTGGAGGTCTGGATGGTCACGGACCGCGCCGTGGAGGTCGTTGACGGCCGTGCTGCACAGGTCAGCCCAAACCGAAATTGCGTCCCGCGGGTTGCGCCCGAACTTTTGCGAGCTCAGCGTCCCCGCGCCGCACCAGCGGGACAGGAAAGATCACCGGCGACGCCATGCCGAACTCCACGACCCGCGGACGATCCGATGACCCCTGGGAATCCTGGAGCTCGTGCCGAGCTGGGCCCCCGTCTAGAGCAAGGGGGTCGTGGCTTCCCCGCGGAGGGCCCCTCCGTGGCCCCCAGCAGAGGACCCTGCTGGATCCTGCAGGATCTCGTAATGATCCGTGCTCCTCCTTCTCTTTCTCCTCCTCCTCCTCATCGTCGTCCTTCTCCTTCTCTTCCTCCTCCTCTTCCTCCTCCTCCTCCTCCTCCTCTTCCTCCTCTTCCTCCTCCTCCTCCTCTTCCTCCTCCTCGTCCTCCTACTTCTCTTCCTCCTCCTCCTCCTCCTCCTTCTCTTCCTTCTCCTTCCGTCCTCCTCCTTCTCTTCCTCCTTCTCCTCTTTCTCCTCCTTTTCTTCCTCCTCTTCCTCGAAGCCGCCAGGGCTGCAGAGCCGCAGAGCCGTGCAGTGGAGACCCATGCCAAAGAACGCTCTGCTTGCCTCCAGGGCGCCCTGGGTTTCGAGGGTCTGGCTGTGGACAGCGCGACGTTCCCACACCAAAAATTCATGGACGCCCTGGAGTCTCAGGGCTGGGTCTCTTGTGGGAGATTCTTGTGGACGGGCCCCCATGCTGGTTAGAGCGGTCTGGGGTCTAGAGTGGCCTGATATTGGTTCCAGCGAGCAGGAAGGGGTGGGGGTTTCGACGGTCTGGGTTCGAACAGGTGTTTTGTTGTTGTTCGGTCTCCGGGGGCCATTTTTGGGCCTGGGGACAGTCGAAAACGGATCCAGAGTGAAGAGTTGCACCAGATTGATCCTAGGAGGGATCTGGGGACCGATTCGAGCGGATTTGATTTCATCCTTCTTTCCTGACCGATCTCTTCGGAGCCCATCCAGTTCCAGACATGTTCAGACCCCCAGGCCGCCTCAGCGCTGGTGCTCAGGCCTCTCAAAGGAGGAACGCCGACGATGCCCCAGCCCGGATGTGGACATTCTGCCGCAGCCCCAGGGCCCCGAAGTCACGGCTCCAAAAATGCAATTTCCACCGAATCTAAGACACAGACTTCGACCCCCCCTCCTCCTCTCGCGTAGGAGGTCGACTGCAGAATTGCTTTGCCCCAAAAGTGAGCCTCCCATCGAATCTGCGAAACAGGTTTAGAGTACTTCGAGGACGCCATACCCTCCTCCTCCTCCTCCTCTTCCTCTTCCTCCTCCTCCTCCCTCCTCCCTCCTCCTCCTCACCCTCCTCCCTCCTCCCTCCGTACTCCTACGGCGCTGTCGGAAGACGTGTCGAACCTCCCCGTCTTCGCCGTCTTCCCCCCCTCCCTGGCCGCTGGCGGCTGCGTGGCGCGGATCCCACGAAGGAGGATACAGTCGGGGCGCTGACCTTTGGAACCCTAAATAAGGAACAAGGCCTTTTTTATTTTCCATAAGTTAACCTTCGATTTCCTGTCGAAAACATAAGGAAAGCCTGAGGCAAGCTGTGAAACACTTAATGAACGCGGAGCCCCTCCCCAACGAAAAGGGTTCCTTCTTCAGGGCCCCGACTGTACCTTCGTGGAAGGTGTTGGGCATGACGACGTAAGTTGCCACGCGACGGGTGCGCCGTGCCTCAGTCGGCCTGGAGGCCGTTTTCTGCTGGTGGCGCCGCCCCTCGCCCCGGATGCCTGCCGGTGCAGGGCGCCACGCGCCCCTCGTCCTCCCCATGGTGCTCGGGGTGGTCGAGCGGGGCCGGAGGTGAGCGGCTCCTGGTCGAAGCACCCCGTCAAGAGTCAATCGGGGGTGGACAGAGCTCCTACCCTGACACGTCGATTGGTGGATGGGCCGTTTTCGGTTCGCGAGAGGGCGTCGCGGCCGTCATTTTTGCGGGTCCAGGTCCGTCGGTTTCGGTCCCAGGCCGTTTTCACGAAAGGGAGGCTTACTAAAGGGAGGTTTGTC